AGGCAGCCTGCAGTCAGAGCCGCTCCGGTGAGTGTGTGAGGTCAGTGCGCACACTTAGCTCCCAGGAGCTGCTCCGTGAGCAGGAAATAGACAAGCAGGGGCTTGCCAGCATCTGCTTGCATCAGTTATCGAGATGCTCCCAAGGAACATGGTTTTCATTCTTGGACTCGGACATACAGAGAACACATTTGACATCAAAGCAGTGGTTAGGTGTAGTCCACCACTTAGAAGATGAACATGGTCTGGGCCCTGCTGTAGGCTGGCCCTACACTAATATTTGAAAATACCTACTTGGTATGTATTTTGTCAGCTTCATTTCCTGCCTTTGGCTTCTTAAAGTCTAGGCTCCAGTCACGCTGAACTCCTAAAACCATCTCTCACTTCCACGGATTGTCACATTCTGTCAGAAAACCTCCGTCTTTCCCAACTTCTCCCTTCAAAAGCCCTGCCCAACTAGGTAGGGGTGGGTGTTTGGCCTACTGATTTAAATGCCCTCATCCTACACAGGTGTACCTACGTTTGTTCATCTGCCCTGGCACAACACCCTGGGAGGCAACAGTGATGGCACAAAAATGAGGTCCCTGTTACCCACGAAGGAGACATGGACTGAGCCCCCAGCTTCTGGTTTAGGACTAACCCAGTTCCTGGGGGGACGGGAGGAGAGGGACATGGTGGGCATTTGGGGTGTGGGAATGCGCGCTCTCTCCCCCTCTCAAACAACTGGATAAGAAAAATTCCTGCCCAACTAAGTCCAGGAAGCCATTTTACTTTGGTTTCTCCTTGAAGCGCTTCCTCATCTGGCCAGAGCGGTCTGGACGCCCATGCCTGGCTCACGCGGCCACCATCATGAACAAAGCCAGGCCTGGGACCCAGCTTCGCTCAACTGCAAACAGTGCCCCCCTCAGGGCAATCTGTTCAAAAGCTGCAGGGCCAAACAAAATTCCCCAGGGACTGCTGTGCTACAGCAGGAACTTCAGCAAGTTCATGGAAAATGGAATGAACATTTTATTCTGGTGCAAAATTCCTGAGATCCACGCAGTTATTTCATAATCTGCATTTCTTCTATGAACTTTTAGAGCCCACACAAAGGTTTAATGATGACATCATCACTACCTCCAGTCTTAATACGAACTTAAACAGGCTTGATTTTTTTTAAGTATTTATAGAAACTGTGTTTAGACAGGCAAAGTGTATTCAGTGATTACTTAATCTCAGACTTGAAGTCTGATGGCTAATTTCACCAAATCAACCTTGCTATTTGAAGTTACTAAAACGCTTTATCTATGAGGTTCTGGGGTTGGACTATATAAATTTTATATAAAATATCCTTGAACTTTTCAAATGTTAAGTCGTAAGACACAGGAAGATAAGAACATGAAGGGGCTACCTTTTAAATCTTATGAGACCACGGACCAAGTTACCACATTTTCCTCCTAATGGCTTTAAAAGTAACCTCAGCAAAATTAACTCGGGAGACCTCGCGCAATAGCCTAGTGGCTAAATCTTCTTGCAACTGCAGGGGTCCCATATGGGCACTAGCTCAGGTCCCAACTGCTTGCTTCCTTTCCAATTCCCTGCTTGTAGCCTGGAAAAGCAGTCCAAGACGGCCCAAAGTCTTGGGACCCTGCACCTGTGTGGGAGACTCAGAAGAAGCTCCTGGCTTCAGATCAGCTCAGCTCCATCCTGCCTTTGCAGTCACTTGGGAAGTAAACCAGTGAATGGAAGATCTTTCTCTCTGTATCTCCTTCTCTCTGTATATCTGCCTTTCCAATTAAAAATAATAATAATACATTATAATGACAAAAAATGTATTTAGTTTATTTAGATCAACTAAACACGTTTCTCAGTAACCCTATGTGTACGGGATCATTTCTTGCCAAAATGACTGCTTTTGACAAGAAATTAATTGAACTTAGCAATTCCTGTAAAAAGCACAACGAATCCAAAAGAACACAACAGGCAATGTTGTAATGCCAGTCTCAGACAGGAGGCTGCTTGCTCTCCATCCAACATGTGCACACTGCTGACAACAAGGAGAAACCGAGTCGGGAGGTGGCCAGGTCATACTGATGACTCAGGTCAGAAAGAAGAATGTTTACTTTAAACAAGCACCGAAGGCCGGGACATGCAACCAGTCCCATAGAGAAAGCATGCTGAGCAACATAACATGCTGGACATTTCAGCGCATGTCCCGGCTGGCCCACCAGCCGGGGATCCTGCCCACTGTCCAGGGCTGTCCAGGAGGGGAGGCCTGGATGCCCAACTCCCAGCACCAACACCCAGGGCAGCCTCCTGTGGGTCCCCACATACCAGCCAAGAAAGCTCAGGAGCCTAGCTCCCCGACCGGGACATGGCACCATCAGGTAAGAGGTCTACCACCAAGGCAGGTGGGGGATACCTCTGTCAGGCCTTAGGACCTGAAAGAAGCCTACTGGAGACAGTACCCATAACTGCCAAATGACTTCTAAAGATGTTCAAACCCACAGGTGCAATCTGGGCATTTTGATTTCCCGATAATCATTCAGGATCTTTAAAAGAAAAGCAATCCTGATGCCATTTCCATCTCTAAATGCACGAATGTCAGGTCCCCTCCCTGTTTCTTAGGGCTGCCTGACAATGCCCTTGGTTTTGTACCTGATTGCTATTGAAATTCAGCCAACCAAGGACGTGCACACTTGTAACACACACATTTGCTAAACAACAAACGCACCAAATAGCACCTTGATCCGGGGGTCCCATGGTTTCTTCACCTACTGCATTTCACCCAATCTTATGGGCAGCCATTCACAGAGCCAGCTGCCCTCCAGCACCTCACGCTGTGACCAGAATGGCAAAATGACACAACACTGTCAACACAGCCACTGTTTAAAAAACGCTTCTGCCAGCTGCTGGCAAGGGATGCCTCCAGCATGCTCTGCACAGCTCCTCAGCTGTCACACAGAAGATCTCTCACTTCCCACTCCCCAGAGGAGGGCACGCAGGGGCCTTGCCTCCCCAGGAACAGGCAGGGAACACCACTCAGTTTCTCCCGACAAGTAGGCCTGGATCCAACCCCACGGCTCAGGGGGTGCTTATAGTGACCCCAGGAACCTAAGAGCCCAGGTGCAGCACAAAATACAGTGGGAAAGAGTCATTCCCTGGTGGAAGAGGGGAGGGGGGGCAGGGAGATAAACCCTCCTCTGCCCATCCCCTCTTCACCAAGAAATTGCCAGCAACACCTTGGGCCCACCCAGCCCCCACTGGCTTCCCAGCTCCTGTGGAGACTGGCTGAGCTACAGGAGGGATGGGCAACAGCTCACAGCAGAAGCCCCCGGGGCCATGCCTGGGGTGGACAGGAGAGGTCCCAGGGCAGCAACAGGAGGTGAACTCGACCCGCTCCTCCGCCAGCCCAACCCCTACTCCTTCCAAAAGAATGAAATTTCCTCTGTGCCATAGGGGGGCACCAGATTGGATTTGCTAACACTTTGGGAAACTTTACAACACAAAACTACCAAAGCAAAACTCAGCCCCACCTAGATAGACCCCATCCATTATTCAAATCGGGCCTTTGCCACACCCCAGCCAGTAGATGTCTACCTGTGAAAGTGGCTTGAAAGTTTGACAGCAAATCCCCACTGGGCTGGGAGAGCCAAGGCCAAAAGGGAGACCTGCGGCTCCCTCTGCACCCTGGAAAACCCACACACAGCTTCTCTCCTTCAACCACAAAATTTCTCTGACGACTTAGGAGTAAGAATATTCTTAAAGGATTTTGATCTTCATTTCCCTACAAGTGTTCTAAGGGACCATACACACACACACTCAGTCCATCTTTATAAATACCTGAAGCATTTCTTAATAACCTACAAATGACCAACCAACTGAAGGTTTCCTTCCCATAAACAACCGTGGTCTTGTAGAAAATGAGTGGGTGGGCCAAGAAGTAAATAATTAGTTTTTGTTTTTTAATCACAGCCATCAAGTCTGTGGTTCCCCAACAGCTCAGGGGCAGCACTTTCGATTTTACCTGAGGCACTCGTGTGTAAGAATTTTTTTCCAAGCCCCACCTCCAGTTGAGGACTTAATTCAGGCTGGGGGCCGGAATTTGTAGTATTTTATTAAAGTACCCTAAACAAACAAAAATTTAAAAGAAAGTACCCTAAACAAATGCAGGGTTGAAACTACAGAAGCAATTACCATGTAGGTGGGGCTTTAAATGTTGATGTTTATCTCAAAAACAGAATCCTTAAAAATCACTGAGGCACACTTTAATATTCTGATTACCAGGTCTTTGCCCTGAGTCTTAAGATCGTTAAGGGATTTTTTGTTTGCTTGCTTGCTTTGTTTGCTTGCTTGTTGTTGTTGCTGTTGTTGTGTTGTGTGTGTGTGTGTGTGTGTTAAGAGCTTCCCAGTTAAACATTACAGCAGGACAGCTCTCCTAATCAGTTTTCAAGAACTCACTCGGTGACCTTCGCAACCCCCACGCGCCAGCACCTCCCAGGGATCCTGGGCTCTCCACGGATCAGCCAAGGCGCGGCCGGAGGTGCAAACGCAGGACCGAGGGAAGGAAGAGCGAGGCGGCAGCTCCGCTGGCAGCACAGCTGGAACTGCTGTCACGCGAGAAAGCACCTCCTTTCAAAGGACAAGGGTCCAGGGGCCCGTGAAAGCCGCGGCTTTCCCAGTCCGTCTCTGAAATTCTCACTTAACAGCACGAATAACAACCCAGAAATAAAACAACTGAAAGCTCCTCAAACCAAAACTCCTTACTTTCACTTAGGTTAATTTAACCATAAAAAAGTGATATGGATCTTAATTAAGAGGTCTGTAAAGCACTTACATTTGTCATTTTGTTGACATTCAAATGTAATTTCCTCTAAAAACTATTCTTAGGTATCAACTAACTAAACTGAATTGTTGGTTTAGATTATTGAACCACAAGATAAGATAAAATTTCAAGATAACTTGCGAGAGCAACCCACAAACTCGCTTCATAGAAGTTGCTCTACACTGGTTTTTACACTTACCCCTGAGGCTGTGGGTTGCGTGGTGGGGGAAGTGTTTTTGCTGCAGTCATCTGAGTTGGAGGAGGTGGAAGTTGGAGTCATAGGAACGGAATTATTGCTATTACCTGCAACAGTCAAGATAAATACGTATTATATACTCTGCTGGTAAGGGCGGCAAAAAAAACCTTGCAATCAAATGGCAATTGGCGATAGTTACCAGAGCAAGACTTTGATTTAGTTATGTTCTTAGGTTTTCGTTTCCTGGTTTGAATTCCCTCTTTTTTCATAGCAAGAGGTCGAGGCACCTAGAATTTTTTCATAGCTCATTAGCTCAATAAATATTTTTTGAAGCAAAAGCAACAAAGGAATCAACAACAGTACTGCAAGCCCTCATTTACAAATCTGGCATAAATTGCAACCCTGTTTTTATGTACAATAGATTCAAGTGCACAAAGACTACCCCCTCAAAAGTAGAAATTCCTTCCGAAAAAAAAAAAAAATCTGGGGTTTGCCAGATTGCACAGTAGATACATATTGGCATATAAATTTCGTCATATAAATTTAAAAGCAATCGCGTGGTACCCTGTCTTTCCCTTACTGATACAGAATTGCCTTTCTTGGTCCCACTTTGTTTCGTTTCTAGCTAGAACTGTCACTCCAGCACACAAATGTGTAAAGATACAGAAGTTAACTGGTTACTGTGCATTTCTGGTTGGTTTCTTTACCAGTACAGTGTTTTTAAAAAACTTGCTGCCGCATTAGCAATTCAAAAACGCACATGTCCCACATTTTCACTATGCTAAATCTGGCAGAGAGCGCCTAGTGGACCTGTGTGTGATGACTGGGCTGGCAGCATTTGTTATTTCTTCGGGTACTTCACAGTTCATCCTAACGAGCTCCATCTTGGGCTCAGCACAGCATTACTTACACCCAGATTCTGCTCTTCTCTCTTTCTTTTGCTGATTGGGATTAAAACTGAAACATGTACAAACCAGACAACCCCCACTGTATTACGTAGGAGCAGAGCATGTGGCGCACCCCATGGAGTTTCATGTAGAGTCCACAAGCATTGCACACGGGTTCACCTTCAGCATTCCGGCGCCATAAGGTGGTGGTGGTAGTGTGACAGTTGGCACAGGACAATCCAAGCCGCCGCGACGAAGGCTAGAAAAACCAGCACAAACAATGATGTTTATCATCTGCTACAGGCATATGCTAGGACATCATGTCTCTCACCAGGAAGCAGATGCCTGGCTTATTAAAAAATGAAACATCTCTGCCATCGGCAAGTGGTTACCTGGCTTGCTGTAAGTGAAATGATCTCATTGGGAGAAGAAAATTGTGGGGGGTGAGGGGAGAATTAGATTGATGTTCTTGGTAAGAAGTGACGGATTTCCATAGTATGCTCAACCCCACACATTTGACCGGCATCTAGGGGTTGTGGGATAACTGGGACACATCCCACATTTCAGCCAGAACTTGGTTTTCCAAATTACTGCCATTTTCTAAAGGAAATCGGGAGAGATCCTAAACATTGTCTCTAGAGTTACGCTCAGACACCAGAAGTAATCGTGCAAGCAGGCCTGATGGGAGTCCCTCCTGCCACCCCAAATTCCCACTGGTGGACTGCACGCAGCCTGGCTCTGCTGCTTCACAGCTCTGACAGAGGAGCCATGAAATGTGATCAAATACCTGCAGAAATTCTGTGTACATTGGGAAAAATGAAAAACATAAATAAAAAATATTTTAACATCTTCTACAATAATCATGATTGTCTGCTACCTGACAAACGACACAATAGCAACTGTCACAGGATTAGTGCAATATTATCGTTGCCTTTCAGTGATACCAGGGCGGTCTCTTTCCTCAACTTTTCTTCACACTGCACGTGCCTGGGCCAACAGTCAGCCCCTGCCACTCACAATCTCACCTTCCCTTCATGCCCTCAACATCCAGACAGAAAATCTACTTCCTCTATTACATGTGAATCACGAAGAATGTAAGCTAGTGACAAATAATTTGTTTTAAAATTATCAAATTCAGTTTTTAAAATTACTATATTATATACTCTTGCATATTGCATAGTTTTTATTATAAAGACCCCATGGGGAAAATTCAGGGACCAAAGCAAGCTGCAAGTTGATTTGAACATTAGCTAGACTAGGAAAAAAATTAAGCAAGCTGAACTGAACATATAAATTGAGAAAAATTCACTGGTCAGAGGCAGGATTTCCTTATCTCTTTTGCCAAATTCACAGATGTAATTGAATTCCGTATTTACCGTTTGCATCCTGCCATACCACCTCAGCATCATTCATTACAGACCAGCCACCAAGAGCCACTGTAAGCCTTTTAGCACTGGGACATTCTCAGTACTGCATCAGTTCTCCTTGGGGACACTGTTTTGCTAAATGGATGAAAATACATTAACAACTGCTTACACAGCAGGTCTTCCTCTCACTCTCTCTCAAAAGAAAATTGTATTCTACGTGTTCCCTTCTCTTTGTAATTGGAAATCAGCAAAGGACAGACGGGAAGGCTCATTTTACAAACAGGCCATTTATGACAGTTTCCAGTGGAATTTGGAGCCAATGTGAAGCAAACCTGTTATCAGAATCTGCCATTATTACCAAGAACTTTATGACTGTCAACTGCACATCATAAGTGAAGCCAGTCCCCATAAACATGTGAAAAGAAGGTGAATGGGTTATAAAAGTTCCTTGTAACAAGAGATCTCAGTTATATTCCTCACTGACAAGGAATTCTAGTTACACCATAAATCTCCTGTTTTGCAATGTATTACAAGTTCAAATTCACAGTGATTGGTTCTGAACTGCTGGCTAAACAAACTTGGGTTCAACATTCTGTTTCTGTGAACTAAGCCAGACCCATCAAAACCATAAATAAGAAGCCCACAAGGAGAACTAATTGATCGTGACACACCCTGCAATTGGTATCATTTATAACCCATTTACAAAGCATACTGGCTGACCTTGGTCACTGCCAAGACACCTGCCATACAGAAGGAAAACCACCCCATTCAGAAATGTTAAAAAGCTGTTTTTCCTCTGCTAGCAGTTATTTTTCACTGGTAAGTGAACGAAACAAATAGCACTATCAAAATATGGATGCGACTAGAATATCTAATGCGACTAGAGTTAAACAGCTGCTACCACTTCGGATTTTTCCTGTCTCCAGAAAGGGCTCGGCTAATTCAAGTACATCTCCAAAATAATTAGAATAGGTGTCACTGTCTGATACACAAAAACGTGGGCTTTCTTGCAATATTTCCCAATGCTGCTGCTACCTTTTTTTTTTTTTTTTAATCCGAGGCTATATGAAAATTAGGGAGCCAAGTACTGAAATTCAGAGGATGTGAGACTATGGGAAGCTGCAGCAAGGTGAAGGCACATAGGCTCATTAGCTTGGGCCACTTTATTTTAAATGCATTAAAAACAAAAACAGCCATAAAACTAATTGCTTCTCTTTAAGGTGTCAGACTTACATTGTGATGCAATTTCACTCTAATCTATTTAACGCAAACAACATGGGCAGCATTTGTTCCTGCTAATTAGAGTATAACAATTAAATAAATTACCTGGATACTTAAGACGTCTGGCATCCGACTGTAAAATAACTTACTTTAAAAAGTATTAAACTGTGAGTACCTGACTAAACAAATGTTAACCTTGCCACAGCTTTGCTGAGCTCGTCTACTTTTCTCCATTTGCTAGTCCTGCTAACAAACACACATAACAATGACAATGCCAGGCTAATCCTACAAGAAAACCAAAATTTGCACTTCGAAACCGGTGAAGTCTGTTTCAATGAATGAAAACCTCCAATCTGGACCACACGTTTTTCCAACTTCTAGACAGTTCTCTTTGAAGAGCCGAATTTCCCAAGGATTCAAGATTAGAGATCCAGACTCAAGGACAATGACTTAGGCCAGTGACTTGGGGGGCTAAGCTCCTCCGCGAGAGGATGGGAGGCGGAGGGGCTCAGAAGGACCAGTGTGGGCCAAATTCGGCAAGAAACGGTGAAAAAGCTCTCCTGCCTCCCTCTGGCCCCCAGCCTCACTCCCCGGAGGCCACCTCCGGCTCCAACTTGTGTGTCCTTCCTGGTCGGTGAATGTATGTCTGCACCCCGCAGCTTCTTTGCTGTGTGCGGTGAGCGTCCCTCGGCTTCCCCTAAAACCGCCCCTTCCCTACGCCAGGCGCCACCAGGCTCTGGCCACGGGGGCAGGATAGTGACTAGCGGCGCCAGCAGCCGCACCTGCCCGCGGGGGGCGCCAGGAGCTCGCCCGACGAGGGGCGGCTCACACACTCACCACGCGCTTTTGCGGCTTGATGAGGGGCCGGCTCAGGCCGTTCATCTTGCTGTAGAGGCCGCAGGCGTTGCACAGGTAGTGGCCGGTGCCGTCCCGCCGCCACAGCGGCGTCTGGATGGAGCCGCAGTTCACGCACTCGCGGCTCTCGGGCAGGTCCTCCAGCAGGTCTGCGGTGGAGAATGGAGACGAAAGTGGCCGGTGAGGCGGCGCCGGGCGCAGGGAGGAACCCCGCAGCCCGGTGCGCCGGCTTTAAAGTCCTCTCAGGCTAGGCTAGAATCGGGGGTTCCACCGCGGGGCGCCTGACACAGCTGCCCATTTGTCCCTGGCTTTCTGCACCCCGCGCCCGCACATCCTTCTCCAGGAAAGCCTGCGGGGAAAGCCGGAGACGATGCTGGAAGCAGAGGAGCCGAGTCTGAACCTTGGATCGCCTGTGTCCAAGCTTTCCAAAACTGAAATCTGGCCAACCCGGGACGAGCCACGCAGAACGCACCGCGGGGTCCCCCTGCTCCTGCACACAGCACGGACACAGTGAGGCCGCCATCTCCGGCTTTTCCCTCGGGTCGTGCCGGAAAAGTTGTCTCTAGATCTGCCACCCTCACTCGCCTCTGCTCGGACAGGACACAAGCAAATGGACTAGAAACACGGCTCCTGGCCATTTGCGTCGCGTAATTACGAGTGAGAGAATAATTCGGGTCTCCTGGGTAGAAGGAAACCCAACATTAGGAAGGACTAAGTTTTCTATTTCACCACCGGATCAAACATGAAAGAGCCTGCCTTCCAAGTGGGTCTCATGGTGTCTATCAGCCATTTTTTTTTTCACAAATGATTTTGCTGCATACTTTGCTTACGAGAAAAATACCAAAACCTTCCTGTTTTCTTACCCTAAATTACCATCGATGGAAAGCGTATTTGCTTTTGTCCTGTTATTATTTGGTTAGTTTTCAGCATTCACAGGTAACCTAAACCTGCTAATGAAAACAAGTCTTAATTAAGAGTAAACGGTTGTAACATTTACTACTTCCCCCCTCAAGGTTAAATATGAGAATAAATAATCTGGTCTGTAAATCGAGGGAGAGATCCTTGGTCCAAGTTAGGGCAGGGTGTTTTCTGTTGCAGCAGGATTGAATGTTCTGATCTGGCATTCCCACAGGAACACCTCTGAATCACTTTTGAAATAAATGCACACTACGCTCTAAGATTTTATTGGAAGATAATTTATGCTAGCTAACCTTTCTATTCGTGCTCATTCCCCTGCAATTTATGGCTTGGATCTACCAGCAATTGCTTTAAGAAAAGCTATTTGAATACGACTTCAGCATTAAAAAGTTTTTTCATTTCCATTTTGGGAATATTTTACAAAACAAGTCTCCTCCCTGCTCGTTTTTCTTATTTCTTACATTAAAAAAAAAAAGTTAGCATCCTACACAATCCGAGTTCAAAGTTGTCATGAGGATTCTGCAACTTACAACACATCTCACAAAGATTTATTCTTCTCCGCCCTAAAAGCCACTATTGACTGCGGCAATCAGTAAAATGCTCAGGACTTCAAGGACACTGAAGTTAAACAAGGTATTTGTCTTTGTTGTTGACTTTAAAATGTTACCTATCAGAGCCCCCTGTGCACAGAGGAGTGGGGGCATTTGCTGAAAACCCCAGCCCAGGTCAGGGCCCTCTTCCCTCTGGCCGGAACAGTATTGATGCTCCGCAGAAGGCACTGTGAGCTCCCCACAGCTCTGCAGTCCTCCAAAAACCCAAAGACCACATTTAATTTAGAAATTATCTGTGAAAAATAATACGTTCAATCCAGGATGTGTTTGTTTTTCATTCAAGTCAGGCTCCATCTTTCATTCTCTCCCTACCTCTCCAACACCCCACATTCCGCTTCCACCCTACCACGGACTAAAATGAGAAAACGAGGGGGGTACTTTTCTAAAAATTGTGAAGTCTGGTTGTGCAGACAGCTTTCTCACGGGCTTCTGTTACTTCCGTTCTGTCTACTAGCACGGCTGCTCTGGGTGCCGTGCCGAGGAGTGACCGATTCCCAGGCGAGAAGGCCATTGTCCTGGTATGTGGTCCCAGGGACCCAGGGACCCAGGGACCCAGAGCACACCCATGGGTCTGGGGTTCTGAGAAGCCTGAGCTCACCACATCAGGAAGAGGTATGGGAGGTGGATCCCCCAAAAAATTCTACACTGTGCGAGCTGATGAAGCTCTGTGGTCGGGTTTATCAGCCCTGGTGATAATCAGGTCGTTAGCCCTGGTGTTTGCCCAAATCAATTCAAGAATCAGCCTCCAAAAACATAAAATTCAAGTGAAGCAGGGAACCCAGCTAGGAAGCTGGCACCAGCACATGCATGAGGCCAAGCAAAGAAAGCGTCAGCTGCCCCCCTACCACTGCGAGCCCTAGCTTTGTCCCACTGCTGCCAGCAGACTATGCATAAACTATTGTTGTTAATAGTAACACTAACATAGCATGTGCACGCTTTTTCCAATTCCTACATCAAGGAAAAAAGCATCTTGCATGTACAGAAGATTCCCCAACTTTGCAGTCATAGGAGGAGCTATGTTCATAGCACAGAAACTGCAGCTTCCTCCATACTGTCAATAGCTAAGCACGCTGGCGGGGGGGGGGGGGTCTTTTGGACTGGTTCTCACGTGGAACAGTGCTATGAGGACCTGGAGAAAAGGATTCAAGTGAGGGTGTCTCAAGACCCATCCTAACTCACAAACCTCCCAGAGTGCCCTGCCGGACGCCCTGGACGACCAAAGCGGCTTTACATCCCAGCCTTTGAAGACTGCTCATCTCTGGGCCCAAGGCTGCCACCAGCCAAGCCTGGGCCTTGTTGCAGGAAGGGAAAGGACTCTGCTCCTCTCCCAAGTCCCACCCACCACAACCAGGCACATCCACAGTAACCCCTGCCCCGACTCCTCGTGGCCACACACTCAATTCAGCTTTCTGTTAATTTGCACACAGATGGTAAAGAGCCTTCTTTAGGGCTGGCTTTTTAAGAGAAGAAGCAGGTTGGAGAACAAAGTCTAGGGTCCTTGGAAGCAGCCCCTCCCCAAGTTACTTAGTAGGCCTAGCCACGTGTTCCTGCCCCCACCATCTCCAAGACTGTCTTTCCAAAGGGTAGCAAAGCCCCCACCTTATCTGATTAATGGCTCCTTGAAAAGGCTTATACTGAGACTCTCCCAAGAAGCCTAGCCTCGGGGTACACACACCACTGTCTCCCTGCTCCCTCCTGGGCCTCCTCACAGCTCGGTCAGAGACTACAACCTTCGGTTTTCCTTAGGAGAGGTTAAGTGAGACCGTGGAACACACCACAGGACCCAACACTGCTGCCTGCCAGCCGCCAGCAAGCAACCCAGCAACACAGCCACACCCTCCCCCCCCCAACCAGGAGCAGAACAAAAACACTCTTTAAATGAGGTACTTCCAGGTATTTTAAAGCTGTTTTCCCACTTTACTCCTAAATTGTCCCCAGACATGGGAACTGGAAATTGAACATTTGGTGAGCTGAAACTCTGAAGGGAAAACAGGTGTGTCAGCTCCTCGGGACCTTGGGTCCTAAGCCTGACCTCTCTAGCCGCCTCCAGGAGCCACAGCAGCCACAGCAGCCCAGCTGCTGCCAAGCCTACAGGTCTACCCACTTTTATCCCCAGCGTCTGTTCCTAGGATTAAGCTTGTGAGCTGCCCGAGCCAGGTGTCTTCTGATCTACTCCTGTCCCCCTCATTTGGGCAGATGCCAAGACAATGGGGTCCCTAAGAATCCAGTCTCCAAAGACACTCCCCTCTCCCATCACCTGGACTCCTCACCTGGGGAAAGCTACCCCCAGAGCTGCACGTGTCCAAGTGTCCACTCGGCAGAGACGGAAACAAACTCACCCCGCCAAGCAGCCCTGGGCCTCTGCTCCCTAAGCAGGGTCTGCCCACCCTTGCCGCGCTCTTCCCTGACATTCCAAAATCTCTAAGACACAGCGGTAGGAACGTTCACCTGGTCTCTTTGGAGAGAAATCAGCCACGCAGATCCCCACCAGCGCCGGCACACTCGGGCCACGCCGTGAGCTCCCTCAGCGGCTCGGGGACAGAGCAGCCCACGCCCCGCGACTGTTCCCACCCTGCATCCCGAATTCTGCGACACGCCCTTACCTGCGCTGGGGCCGCGGGGTACTGGGAGAGGAGCTCCAGCGCGGCTCTGTAAGCTGTGCAGCACCGGGGTCTCGAAGGGCCCTGCAGGCCAGGCGGGCGTCAGCGGCGCGCCCATGTAAGGCGAGTAAGGGTTCGGATGGTGGTGGTGATGGTGGTGGTACGTCCCGTTCAGCGGCCGCGCCGCCGACAACGAGCTGTACTGGTGTTCGCGGCTGCCCATGGCTGCCAGGCTGCCGCCTCCACCGCCTACGCCGCCAGCGCCGCCGCTGCCGGCCGTCGCGTAACCTCCCGGTTCCCGCGCCGCGCCGTTGGCCATCGGCGGGCTGGGCGAGTAGGGGAAGCGCGCCGAGGCGTGCGCTGCGGCCGAGCCCGAGCCGCCAGGCCCGGCGGCCCCATTGCCGGCCGCGCCGCCTCCGCTGCCGTACGGGGGGCTGTCGGCAGAGGCCTGGGGCCAGCCTGGGTGCGCGCCCGCGCCTCCCGCGTGGTTGGCAGGCCCGCTGGCGGCCCCCTGCAGGTACGGCAGGCCAGGCAGCATGGAGCCCACGCGTGTCGTGGGCACGTAGACCGGAGAGCTGGCCGCTGCAGCTGCCGCCGCCGCTGCAGCTGCAGAGTGCACGAAGCCTCCGGGCGCGCCGTCGTAAGCGGCAGGCCCCTGGCTGGAGAGCGCGGCGAGCGTCTGGTACATCTCCTCTGGCTGCTCGGGAGCAAAGGGGCTCAGCTTGGCGCCGCGGCTGGACCACAGCAGCTTGCTGGCAGTGGCGGCCTGGTCGAGGTCAGTAAACAGCAACAGGTCCTCCCAGCTAGACAGGGCACTCCCGGGGCCGGCGACCCCAGCAGGCGCCGCAGGTCCGTGAGGAGCCCCGAAGGGATGCGAGGCGTAGGGGCTGAGCAACAGGGAGCGGGCCGGGGGTCCCGCCGCCGCCTCCGTGTCAAGCTGAGGTGTCCGGCAGTTGCTGGCGCCGCTGGCGCCGCGCTCCCCACCCCGGGAGCAGCAGGAGGAAGATGAGGAGGAGATGGGAGAAGGCGGGGTGGAGGGCTCCCGCCCTGGAAAGGCCTCGGAGTCGCCGGCGTCCGCAGCCGCGGCCCCGAAGCGCTTTGGCAGGCACCAGCCGCCGTCAGTCAAGGCCATCCACGGTCCGGCGCCGCTCTCAGCTGACTTCTAGTTCCTGGCGCTGGGGATCAGGAAAGAAGGAAAGAGACTTTAGCAAAAACGCACGCCAGCTCACCTCCACTCCCTTTTGAAGCTCATCAGAGACTCTTAAGATCCCATTCCTGCCTAGGGCGCGGGCGGGCGCTGGGGCTGGAGAAGGAAGCAGAGCCTGCACAGCCACCACCGGGTCCTCGAAGGACTGAGAGAGTCGCACCACCTCCCGGGAACTCCTGGGCCCCCACCCACCTCTGAGCAGCATCACTTCCACCTCTCCCCTTCCTTCCCACCGCTCGAGCGCCACAGCCCGGGGACCACCGCCTAAGGCTGGCTGAGGTTTCCCTCCCACACTTAAGTGCTCCCTCCGGGCCAGGCGGGTGACACACAAAAGAAACTTAGTGGCCGTGAGGGTCGCCAATGGCGCGTGCCACCTCCCTGCCTACCTCGGTGGGACGGTTTTTCAGACCAATATCCAAAGCGCGAGGCAACCAACCCGCCCCCCCCCCGAAAACGAAACCGCCGCGTAAACTCAAACCGGTTCTTAAACCGCTCCCCAGACTAGCGTCAATCAGACCCAGCGGGAGCCCCCAGAAACCGCAAGTCAATTCAGGGGGCGTGAGGCGCCAGGCCGCAGCCCCCCAGCCTTGGGTGCCCGGCAGAGAGGCAGTGCGGGAGCCTGCGCGGCTGCAGCCCGGCACACTTCGCCCAGCGCCTCGGCTGCCCGGCAGAGCCGCTCACCTCCGACAGGGCCCGCGCGCGTCTGCGGGCCAGCAGCGCGCTCACGCTGGCTGGGCCACCCCGGCCCACCCGCGCGGTTCTCCCGTGGCCTCGGAAGAGCCAGGCCGTGCCGGAATCGGACGTAGTAGGGAGGAGCAGAGCACAGAGTCAAGGAGGGGGAAAACCCAAGAGGGGGCGTGAGACCGCCCTGGAACCCAGGCCACCCTTAAGGGAAGAATGACAGGGAGGCTCGACGGGGGCGGGGGAGGGAGGCGAGAAGCGGCCGGGCAGCCCCTCCTCCGGGAGGCTTTTCCCAAATTATCCAGACTCATCAGAGAAAACCACACTGGTGGATTAAGTGCATACACACGTACACACACACGCACACACACACGCGCACACACTCCAGGCAAGTAGCGAGCGTGAAGTTTCTCTCTGCCTGCGGACTACTGGCCCCCGCCCCTTCGAACCGAGATAACTCGGAGATAAGGCTGCGTTCAGATAAGCACTTCGGGGAGAGGGAAAAGACAGCACAAGGCGGTGCGCCGCGATGCGGGGACGGGAGAGCGGCTACAGCCCGCCCGCAGGGGAGGAGGGAGGACCCCGCGGAGCCGGCCGCGGCCCAGAGAGGGCAGCAGAGCCGGAGGTCCAGGGGCCCGCGGCTGGAGGGGGCGGGAGGGAAGGAAGCGGAGAGAGCGAGCGAGGGGAAAGCGGTCGAACCTGGGGCGGGCGCAGCGCATGGAGAGGCGCCGCGGAGATCCCAGACGCGAAGAGAGGCGGAGGGTGCGGGCGGGCGGGCGAACGCGAGTCCGGGGTCTGCGCCGCGCGGCCGGAGAATAAAAAGGAGAGAGGAGGCGCCTCTTACTGCTCTGCCGGAAAACTGCAGCCTGCGCTCCTGATTGGACTCGCCGAGCCCTAAACAAACAGCGCTCGCCGAAGGGTGCCAGGCTGTGGGTCGGAACTGCGCTCTGCGAGCAGCTGGGCGCTGGAGGTGAAGAGGAGGAGGGAAGGGGAGGAGGAGGAGAAGAAGGAGGAGGAGGGATCGAGGGGAGGAGAGAAAAGAGGGTGGGGAGGGACGGCGGGGGGGGGAGGGGAGCGCGCCGCCCGGGCAGACAATGAGCTCCGCGCAGCCTGCGGGCGTGGGCTTGAGAACCGCGAGCACGGTGCGCGCAGTGAGGGCCTGTCCGCCCCGGGGACACCCGACCCAGGCACGTCGTGGGGGAGGGGCGGAGGTGACTGCACGCCTGACCCGTCTGGCGACGCACGCCAGTCCAGCGGCGGGGCACCCGCGGCGCCCCCAGTTACACACTCACGCTCACACACGCTGGGCAGGGGAGGGAGCCTTGGCTCCCAGCGAGATGGCCACGCACAGTCCTGCGCCCCTTAGGGCGCGGGCACAAATGAGGGAGGTACAGGGTTTTGCTCGCATGGCCCTCCCCGCTGTTCCCGCCAGGGCAAATAAGGCGTGCTCCCCGCGGTGGTGTGTGACCCACAAACCCAGCGATCCTAGGGGCTCCGGAGGTGGAACCCTTGAGGATCAGGGTTCTTGTCGACTGAGAGTGGGTGCCCTGGGTGCCCTGCTGGCTAGCTCTCGTCTGCTCTTAGAATATAGACCAAATTCCTGGGACGTTTCGAGAAGTTCAGGACATTCCCTAGCTAACCTCTGGGGTCGTGGGGTGCGAAAATGTTAGCCCGTGCGGGGTGCAAGTTGGGAAGGGGCTTCCGCACCAGGCGCGCCTGGGGACGCCCTCCAATTTTGGTAGTTGCCCTCTCACCACCCTCTACCCCCGCACTTCAGGTAGGTCGCACATAGGTCAATGGAGACAGGGCCAGGAGGTCACCGTCTCCCCCACCCTGCTCCAATCCCCCGACTTCCCCACCCCCACGCTCGCTTCCTTACACACCCCTCCTTCGCGCCCCGCGCAGGGCTGTCACAGCTGTGTGCAGACTGACACTCGCCGTCCGTCGCGATCCGAGGCCCTGGAAGTGAACGCCGCGGGGTTATCAGAGCCCAAATGTCAGGCCGGTGTCCGCGGGGGTCGTGATCTCGGTTTCTCTCTCCTCGGCGTTCAAAAAGGGCTTCTTCCGCAGGCGTGACCCACGAGCCTTCCCAGAGAGGAATTAACTCGGGCGGGAGGAGTGGTTTTGTGGGACATAATTTTTTACACTTTTTTTTTCTCCCCAGGTAAATCGAAGTCAATGATTTTCTAAAGGTCAGTCTTCCCTGAAAGTGTTTGGGTTCTGGTTTTTGTTTTTTTGGTTTTTTTGTTTTGTTTTGTTTTGTTTTGTTTTTTTAATTATGTGTGTGAGAGAGTGTGTGTGTTTCAGCTGGGGAATGGGACAGGAGCCTCGCTGGGATGAACAGGCATGGGTGGGTAGGTAGGTAGGTAGGTAGGTGCAGTGTAAAACTCGTTTGGAGGGAACTCCAAGCCCAGTGGGGCACCGTCGCGAATCCATGGGTGCCCCCAGGAGAAGGGGCCGGCCCTGGTGAGCAGAAAACGTCGTGGAAGTGGTAAATTCTGCCTTCTTCGTTCCTCGCCGTAAATTGCGGCTAACCATCCCAGGATTTTTAACTTGTTGCTGAGAAGGTCTGTAAAACTGCTCTTCGGCTCATGCAGTCCCTTTTATGACATTTCGCCTTTGCCTTCCCCGGTCACCGCGGCGGCCCCCACGTTCCGAGTGGCCGAGTTTCCCAAAGACACAAGGTGGAGAAGTGGACCGGAGAGAGCCAGGCGGCCGGAGCGAGCTCCTCCGATCCGGGCTTCCCACTTGAACCGGAGTCCCTTCGGTTGATCCCCAGCAAGCACCAGCCCAGAGCCAGTCCAGCCGGGCCAAGGCAGCCAGCTCCCACTCCCGCTGGGGCTTCCTGGTGAATTCCGGCCGAACGTGGAAGCCGGACACGGTGCTGCAAGCAGTCCCGTTTGTAAGCAGTTTCAGACCTGTAGTGGATATTTGCGTTCTTAATGTTTTTGAAATAATGGCTCTCAGGTTTGCTATTAAAAAGCCAAAAGGAAAAAAAGTAAAGTTCTTGTCGTATTTGCTAAAAGTGAATGCTGAGCGTGCGAGCAGGCTTTGAAACGGCCTCCGACCTGCACCAGGCGCAGAGGGAGTCCCGGAGACAGCCCATTGGTGTCCTGCGTGTTTCTTCATATTTACAAGTTGATCCTAGAACAATACTGCCAGCTGCCCGCTGCCCCGCAGCCGTGTACCGAGGGCGCAGCCGGCAGAGGTGAGCGGCCGGCTGGACATTGACCGACTCGGCTCCGGGCACTGAGTGCTCCACATTAAGAGACCCGGCGTTTTACCTTGCAGATCCCGAATCTTAAAAACAAACAGTGCCCCCAAAGGAAGGGGAGAATCGGTTGCAGCTCCTTTACAAAATGTTTTTGTTACATTGGTTTCCTAACCCGACGAGGGATGGATAATGAAACGTTTGTCACGTCAGCTAATTTAAAAATAACAAAACGAGTTAACCCGTAAAGCTGATGGGGACAGAAAATGGGCTGCCTGGTCCCTCCAATGGCAGCGTTCCCCCCACAGGTCGGCTTTGGCGCTGGGGACCCCAGCCCGGGGGCACAGGGCCGTTCTCGTAGCCGCCCCCACGGACCCTAGGCGGCCGCTGAGCCTCCTCTGAGCCGAGCCCCCGCTGCTGTGGAGGCCGGCGGAACTGGAGGCGCACCCCCAAACCGAGGTGACCCCCCCCAAATCAGGAGCAGACGCCATAGTGCCCCAGGTCCGTCTGTTCAGAAAACTTTGCCTTATTTGTTTTCTTTCTTTGAAATTTTGTTTGATTTCCTTTCCTGTTCATTTTCATCTCGTCTCCTCTTTGGAAATTTGCTAGTTTGAAACGAAACCGTTTCTCTGGGGACCGTTTAGGCCCACGGAGCCGCCCCTGGGGAACGAGCCGCGCTCGGCCCCGGCGCGGAGGAGCGGCCCCGGGGCGCGGCCTGTGCCCGAGCCCCGCGACTCGCGCGATTCGAATCCGGCCCCGGCGCTCGGCAGCCAATGGGGCAGGGGGCGGGGGCTCTGGCCCGGACGAGGGGCCTGGGGCGGGGGACCCCGACACCCGCCGCTTCCGGGGTCGCGGGGCTCCGGCACCCCCCGCCTAGCCAAGCTGGGGGGAGGGGGCGGATAAAAAAAAAAAAAAGATCTGTGACTGCAGAACTCTTGGGAAGTTAGATTTTCCGGAAAACCAAATCTGTGGGGCCTCCTCGCTGATCCTCTCTGATCCCGGGGACGCCGTCCCCCAAGGTCACGGGAACCCCCGGGCGCCGCCAGCCTCCGTCTCCGGGGACCCCGTGGCCGGGTCCGGGGAGCGCGGCCCCCGCTCGGCTGCTGTCAGCCCCGCTCCGACCAGCGATCGGGGTTCAGAAGGTGCTTTCCTTCCGTCCTTCTGCTTCCTCCCTCCTTTCCTTCCTTCTTCCTTCCCTTCCCTCCCTTCTTTCCCTCTTCGCTTTCCTTGCTAACTAGATTTTTTTTTTAATTTTCGCGAAACCAAAAAAACACACACACACACACACACACACACACACACACACACACACACACCCTCCTGACATGTCAGGTGGCGGCGGAAGCGCGAAGGTCGCCCCAGCGCCCGCGGCTGCTCTCCGCGCGCCCCTCGGGCCGGGCAGGCGCAGCGCCCACGCGGGGCCCCGCGGCGACGGGCGTCCGGGGGTCCGGGGGGCCCTGGCGTCGCCGGCGGCCGCCTGCCCGGCGCGGAGGTGGGCGGGCGGCGGCGCGCGCGGGGTCAACCGCGGTGGCCTTGCGGCGCGCGCTGTGGCCGGCCTTAATGTACTCGGTGCGCCGCGGCTAGGTTAGGGCCGCGATAAGGGGAGGCCCGGCAGGGTCGGTGTAAAAGCCCCACGCCGGACGCCTCCAACCCTCCCCTCATCCATTAACTTTTTTTTTTTTTCCTTTCCAACTTTCTTCTCCCGTCTCTCTTTAGGCTTGTTATCTGGGCCACCCAATGACCGACGAAAGATTTTTTTTTTCCCCTCCCGGCTTCCCCCCCACCCCCTATCCCCGGCCGCTTTAAACCAAATACATTTAGCTATTAAGGGCCAAGATGTCTGACAAAAGATCGAAACGTGTCTTTTTGGGATCGCTTCTAGCAGCGAGGGAAGAAGCTCGCGGCTCCCCGAGCCCGATAAAGAAATTCCACAGCGGCGCCGGCCTCCCTGCCCGCGGCCTGGTCGCGCCCCAAGACCCAAGGATCCCCGACGAGGGCGGCGGCCTCAGAGCTCCGAGGGGCTGCGGTGGGGGCGGGGTGGGGGACGCGGAGGCTCCCTGGTGGGCACCGGGCCTAGCAAGGACAGGATGTACTGAGGCTATGAAACTCCGGGTCGGAGCTGGGGACCCCAAAAGTTTTATCCTCCCCTGCACTTTGCAAAAATATTAAACTGCAGGATCCCATTTGGATGATTTTCTGTTATCAAACAAGAAGACCAAAGCAAACCTCCTCTCTTGGGCTCCTGGGGGTCCGGCGCCCAAGAGGAGCATACCTTCCGTAGGTGGCTGGGTGAGTGGGCTCAATGCATACAGGTGGAGGGAGGGGCCCCGATCATTCAGGTCTGGTTATGAAACGTGCTATTTGTGAGCTTTATTAATTGCTACTGGCATGGCTACACAAGATTGAGGGCTGCCAGCTGGGCCTGGGCCCTGCCCCTGGCATGAGCCCTTTTCCCAAAAGGAATAGCAGGGAATACTCAGTTTCCTGATCAGAACTAAATGCCTTTGGGGGGTCAGACGTGCATATCTTTGATGTTTTTCTCTCCTTTGCGCCCCATCCCCCCCAACCCCAGTAACTGGAATGCGCCCTTCCACCAGTTTGAAACCGGATGAGAGGCTTGAGGTGGGGGTGGGGTGCAGATGAGACACCCCCACCCCCCTTCCCTGCCGTGGTGGGGAAGTCTCCCACCTCCTCCTGCCTTCCTCATTCCGCT